TATTAGTTTTAGGTATTAGTAATGATCCATTCCTTGCAGACCCGACTTCTCCTTTAATGGTGTAAAAGCTGAATTTATTTCTATAAAAATGTATGTTCAGTTCTATAATTCAATTTCTGTTTTTAAAAATCTGCCTCTTTGTGTCAACAACCGGGTCCTTAAACCACAGAGTAATCAAACACAGATTCATGGATTAGGATTTAACATAAAGTTAAACTTAATCTGACCAGATTTTGAGCTCAAGAACTGGAGCATTCGTTACCTTTGTAGATGTCATAAACATGTCGAAGGAGTAAAACAGAACAATGCAACACTGGTGGCTCAATATGCTCATTTAGCATTGTTAGCTAATATCTACAGGTAGCTTTTACAGTTAGCCCAAACCTATCTTTGTTTTTATTTACAGGATACTTCTTGTCCATAATAATATTTTAATCTACTAAGCTGATGCAAGATCCTCTGCTGCACCTTAAAACATTATGAAGCGAATTTAACCTGATATAAAATGTTAATCCATGAATCTGTGTTTGATTACTTTGTAGCTTATGACCCAATGGTTTAACAAAAATACATTTAATTTTCAAATTTTAGAAGTGAGAATAAAAGAAAACAAACAGAAAATGCTCAAAACAAATTAATTTAGTGCCAATTTAGTGATATTTATTTTCAACCTATTGTATTTTATTTCAAACTACATGAAGTTTCTGTTCATATCTGCCTGCTAATCCTTAGGGAATCGTCACAGCCATCTGGATGAGGAGGAAAACGACGGCCGGATGCTTCAGGACTGCACCGCTCACTGCTAATCTGTTCACTATCTAATGTGCTGCCCTCATTTAAACTGTTTGAAGTTTTTATTTAAAACATCATTCAGCTTCTCTGATCAATGCTCTCTTTATCAGCCTGTCCTTTTTGTCAGACTATCGTGTCTTGGTAGAACTACCAAAGGTGGTTCATCCTCTCCATGTTCTCTGGGAGACGTTCAAAGCTTACATATTGTTTTAAATCTGTTTAAGTTTGAAGATTGTCTTATACTGAGCCATGGGGAGTGGGGGGGCTGCAGTGAGACGGAAGCTGTTTGTGAGATAAAGAGCAGTGATCAGCTGCTCTCTGCTGGACGTGATCTGACCTACATCGATACGGGCGACTTCTGATAAAGTTGTTGACGGAAATGTTAATCTGAAGCACGGAACACAACGACCCGCTGATACCAAGATTAACTTGGGGCAGAGATGAAGTAATGTTTTATGAAGAAGGGCCTGAAACCTGTCATTCAGGTTCCACTGCCAACTCCATGGAAGTCTCAACCGCAGAATACCTTACGGTGGCCGGGAGGTGCAAACCAACATTAGAAAACAATTTGTTTTGGAACTTGTAAAAGTTTTTAGATTTTGTAATGTTGGTTTGCACCTCCCGCCCACTGTAATACCTCCTTACGCTCTGCACCCAGTTACTGTGATACGTCACACATCATCCACTGGATAAAACCTCCTGCATCCTTTCTGAAAACAACCTGAAAACAACAAACCCTGACCTCTAATCAGAGGTGTCAACTAATAAAGTACAAATACTTTCTTACCTTCCGAAAGTAGAAATGTTGGCTAGCTTTACTTTACTTGAGTAGAATTTTTAGACAACTTTTTTATTTTTATTCTTTACATTGTTTTGCAATTATCTCTACTTTTAACTTATTACATTTAAAATACAGACTCGTTAGTTTTTTTCATTAAAGCTCATTTTTATTATATGAAGGATTATTAGGGCCAGGCTAGAGATTATTTTTTTCTAAATACAAGAATAAAGTCGCAATATTACGCAAATAAAGTCGCAACATTACGAGAATAAAGACGCAACATTACGAGAATAAAGTCGCAACATTACGAGAATAAAGTAACAACAACACGAGAATAAAGTCGCAACATTACGAGAATAAAGTAACAACAATATGAGAATAAAGTCGCAATATAACGAGAATAAAGTAACAACAATATGAGAATAAAGTCGCAACATTACGAGAATAAAGT